AGAAAACTTTGAATCAATCTGACTGGATGATCTGGTGAACTGGAAAGTGACCTGAGATGACATGATGTGAATTGGAGCTATAGAAATAGACTGAATAGAATTGTATGAATATAATGTAGTTAATCTAGACTTAGACAAACTTTATTGTCATTTTGTACACAGGGTGAATAAAAAACAAAATCAATCGATACGCAGGCCAACTTTTAGGAAACCTTAAAGCTTTCAGAGCAGACTTTTTCTAGATCAGCTCTGTCTAATTGTAGAATAATAGGAAGATTAGCTGCAATAAAAAGTTGCTGCAGGGTTGAAGCGATGCCTGCTGAGGCTGATGAGAAGGGTTTGTTTTGTCAGAGTACCAGCTGGAGTCGCAGACGCTGAGCCGATGCGAGTTACTGCGGAGCGTCGCCACGGAAACCAAGCAGGGAGACGTTCCTCACTGCTCAGAGGACGGCAGCTTTAGGTATGAGAAGCTCCACCATCTTTAGCTCCGTCTTTCTCTAATGAACGCTCCAACAGAAAAATGTTCATATTTAATCAACATTTTTCTCTCTAATGAAATAAACTAAATTGCTTTTTTATTAAGCTTCTGATTTATTCAAACTGAGTTTTTTAATTCTATGTTTGCGTTTCTGTGTGCAGACCTGTGCAGTGCAGCGGGCAGAATCAGGAGTGTTGGTGTGTTGACTCCGGGGGTCAAGAGGTCATCGGGACTCGAACCAACAACTCTGCTCCTCACTGTGAGCATCAGAATAAAATCCCACAAAAACATGTTCTGTGGGCTTTTATACAACATTTTACATTTAATTAACTGAAACTGTGACTGAGGATCCAGAATGAATTAATATTTAGCTTTAAGAGTTTCTGCAAAAACATTTTCCTGAAACAGAGTAAAAAAAAAACAAAGCATTAAATGTCTGGTAAAAACAACAAAACAAAAAGACTGTCTCACCATCTAAAAACTCTAGTTATGGTTTAAACTAAAACCCTCAAAATCAAATTTTATTCTAAAGTATTTTATTAGATGAAATGTTGCAGAAACTCAGGTTATTTTTCTTCCAGCTGGAGGCAGAGGTGTGCAGCGCATACATGGGGAATCAGAAGGCTAGGTTTCAGAATAAGGAGGTGTTTATAGAAAGTAAACGACACTGAAGCAGATACTAATATTGGGTGTTGGTACCATATATTATGAGGAAACAAGAAAAACAACAAACAAACCTCAAAATATTTACAATCTGCAGAAAACCTAGTTTTGCGTTGGTGCGATTGAGAAAATTCAGTTCCGCTGCAGACGGGCTAACGTTAGCCCTGGCCGCTGCAGACAGATTAACGTTAGCCCTGGCCGCTGCAGACGGGCTAACGTTAGCCCTGGCCGCTGCAGACAGATTAACGTTAGCCCTGGCCGCTGCAGACGGGCTAACGTTAGCCCTGG